GATATGTATGCATTTTTTATGTCTTTTCAAGTCATTAACTTCGAAATGTCTAATTATCGGTTAGGAACTAATATTGTTCCTTCTCATTGCAGTGCATACAGAGCATTGTACATGTTGAACTGGATTTATCGGTACTTTACCGAAGAGGATTTTTTCCGCTGGATAAGTATGTCTTCCCTCTCTCTATCTTCTTCTTTGTCTCGATCATAGGTGTATGAGGAATGTTCGTATCGATATATATATATATATATATATATGCGCACAGATTTGCGATATTTAATGTTATATATGTTATTTCGAACACCTTGTTTATATGATTTCTTTTTTTCAGCTTGGATTACAGGGCTTGTCCAGACATTGTTGTATGCTGAAGATGAGTATCCAAGAAGCTACATTGAAGAATCTATAGATTTCACAACAAAGAGTGGTTCCTTATCATATGGTGGCAAAATCCTTAAGATGTTGGCTGGTTTTGATTTATCCTGCAAAAAGTTAGCCGGTCAAATTCCACCCGAACTCGGAACCTTGAGCCAAATCCATTCTTTGAACTTGTCACACAACAACTTGATCGGAGTTATTCCGTCATCGTTCTCGAAACTTAAGCAACTTGAGAGTTTAGACCTTTCTTACAACAAATTGGCTGGTAAAATCCCAAACCAGTTGGTAGAGCTGAACTCTTTGGAGGTTGTCAGTGTGGCACACAACTTGTCAGGTAGCATTCCGGAACAGAAAGCTCAATTCGGGACCTTTGATGAAAGCAGTTACGAGGGGAACCCTTTTCTCTGTGGGCCTATGATACGTAAAAGTTGCTCGAAAATCGATCCATTATCGACCGTACCGACTGCATGCAAAGATGAGGAAGAAGATAGCATGCTAGACATATATGTTTTTCGTGTGAGCTTTCTGGTTTCTTACGCAGTTACGTTATTGACAACTTTTGTTGTGCTCTACATCAATCCATATTGGCGAGGAGTTTGGTTTTCTTTCATCGAGATGTGCTTCACCACCTGCCGGGACTCGACCGTCGGCAATTTTCTTGCAAATTACGTCTTCAGGAGGTGTGTTCAGCAGTCACGAAGATCTGAGCAAATTTGGTTTGTGTTGTCTCTGATTTGTTTTTGCATTCTGACTAAAGCTCTCATGTTTTGTTAGTTTTAATGAAATTTCAAGTATGATCTTAATCGGCTAATCCAGTGATCAAATTATAATAAATCGATAACGTAAGTGATCAAAATATTTTTTTTTAATTTCAATAATAAAATTACACAAAATCAAAACAGAAGTGATCAAAATTGTAGCTTACATAAAAAAAATATTGCAAAGTTTTATTCAACATTTCCAAATCCAATCAACTTTCGATAAGCATTGTATTCAAACAAATTCCAAACCTATTGTTTTTAGTATAACAATCACGAATGTGTTCATTATCAGAAATCTGAAAAATCCAGTCTGGTTATGATTATGTAAACAACAAAAAATGTGATCTTTTTCAAGGTTTCTTTCTTATAAAATGGGGTTGGTAAAAAATCCGCACCCGTGCCGTGTGTGTCAAGAAAAATGGGTTCATTTATATCGTATTGAATAGCTAATTAAAGTTGATCCAACACTAGAAACTCAGGTATCGATATATTCTGAAGATTGTACAGACCTTAGAAGCTCCTTCAAATTTGCCAGAACATGCCGCGGTCCTAAACTCTTGACCCCGATGAAATTCAAAAGTTCTATATCCTGCAAATATAACGACGAGTTTGCATTCGTTTCATAACAAATATCGTAACAATCAAAAGACAATTAGGATACCACGCAACCCAACAATTTTTTCGCTGAGAGGAACATGATCTTGCACAGACTCTTCGTTTTTCTTTAAATATTTGTCTTACAATTTTCGGACAAGGATTTGAGGATGTTACCGTGTCAAAGGAACATAGTTTTTTGCTAAGGGGAAGGGGATTTAAGTGACAGACCTCCTTATGGATGTAAGATAAGGCTATCATCATATTTTTGAAATGATTGATAATCCTCGTCCGGTGAAGTTTATAGATAGTCTTAAGAGTTCATCCTAAGAAACTAGATGTAATAAATCCAATATGTACCGAATAATCCAACCATGATTATAATGAAGATGATGATGAAGCATGACTAGCCACTAGCAAACAAGCACTCTTTTTCCAAGCTGTCAATTGAAGACCATGGACATGCCAACTTTGCAGACCATTTGAATCCAATAACACAAATACAAATGCAAAAGTCGAATAATTCGTCCTGGAAAAAAATGATAATACGTGAACACTCACCTTGTTTAACAAGAATACAGCATATGCTGCTCTTGTTGTGTCTTGACCGTCTAAAAGGAGTGGAAATTCTGCTTGCTTTACATTTGCTGAAAGCGCTGTATACGATGACATATCAGAAGATGCAGGCTCTACTGAAGGCACATAGTCGATAATATATGAGCGGGAACCACCCAAGCGCAGAGGATAACGCAAAGGAACTTGAAAATAGGATGCAATTAGTGGAACAACCTGCAAGCGAGGAAATAAGGGGAAACAAGAAAGAATGATTACGAATGAACAACACTAGGCCCAAGATACTATGTTTACATCATAGCAATCTAAAATTACTATGACTTCTTAAAGCAACAATGAATTGCAGGAAGTAGTTAGGAAAAAAAAACTTGATGTATAAAGCTTGATATTATTAGAGAAAAAGCAACAATTTCAGTAACAAAAGATAACTGTAGATTATGCAGAAGCAATGGAACGCACATGTGCAACATATCCTAAGGCACTTGCAGATCTCTGAACCTCCTTTTTGTTGGTGAAAAAAATTCATCTTTGTAAAAGGAAGCATGGTGAGATTGAGACCTAAAATCGTCAAGGACCCTTGACTAACAGGCTTAGATGCAGAAGAATTCCCTAGTGATGACAGCAACAGAAAGAAGTTAATATCAACACATTAGCAGGTATCATCATTTTGTTGGAGTCAAAAAGTGTAGCCGTGAAAGTAAAAGACATCCAAAACTTCACAATATTCAAGACATTCAAGTGTTTATGTCATGTTCGTGTTATTTCTTGTTGTTATGCCACGCTTTAATCAGTTTTCCATGTGTTTGTGTCATATAACCGTATCATGTCTAATAGGTCTAAGTAAAGCAACATATTGGAACAACCATATAGGTCCGTCTAATATAGCTAGGTCTATAAAAAAACACAATCTGGTGTTGTCGGTAAAGCTTTCCTCAAACCATTTTGAACATCCAAAATCTCAAGAACAAGCGGAAGGGGAAGAGTACGAAATATAACAATCATAACTCTGGGTTCTTGATGATATATGGGAGAAGGTAAACATTAATTAAAAATATCGGAATAAACCACAATCATAACTATATGTTGGGCCTTTTTTGCAAAGGTTTAGCAATCCAAAACTACTAGCACATTACCTAATCTACTACTGCTAGAATAGGACTCAAGTTCCTGCTCTTGTGCGGGTCCAACCAAGATCTTTACAGGATAGAGTAATGAAACTTGAGATATCATATATTGTTGCCTTGCTCGAAGCTTCCTTTGCACATTTTTAAGTTTAACATAACCCCTTTCTTCAGTGAGTAATCTATTTGCTTCCTGTAATAAAAACAACAGATAATCAATCAAGCTATGCATGAAAGACTACCAATCAATTATCTGAAAGAGGAGGAAAATATGTGGGAGAGCAAGAAGGGGATAATCCTTCACACAGGGTGGATGGGGGAAGAGAGAGATGGTCTTCTAGATTGGAGAAGGGGGGGGGAGAAGAGAGAATATATAACATCTAAAACTTAATAAAAAGAACTTCAAAAATATCATAAATTCAACACTCCTGATGATATAAAAATGGGACTCAAAAGCTAATTGACATCTTTAGAATAAAAAAGCTTCACCTGCAATCGCTTCCTTGCTACAGAAAGAGAGGTACCAGCAACCAATAAAGATCTCACTTCAGTGCTAAGCATTTCCTCCTCCTTTTTAGCATCCTCTGTTATGACTTTGCAACGAGTTGACATGTTTGCCATCACTAGTTTTCTTGCCTCTAGTCTCTCGTGCATTTCCTCAAGCTCATTCAGTTTATTCAACGACTCCTTTTTGACCTGCATAGAAAGTTCCAGTCCACTAATCAGCAGCCCAAGTAATTAGGCCCATTCTATCAAACCTAGATAGTGAGTGTGGTGCAAGAAAACAAATTTAAATTACAGCTCACCAGGTTCTTCAAGTGTCATATGGCTCGATCAATTCAACTTTTCATATCTACTAAAACTAAAAATAAATAGAGAAGAGTGCAAATACAATCTTAAACAGCTTTCGGTGGCATGTTTACATTACAACGAAACAGTTTAAGAGACCTAAAAAGGGGGAAAAGCATCTGAAAGGTAGAAAAGAAATTGAACAGAAACAATGAATCTATCTGGTACAAAGGGCAATAAATCTTAACAAAGGGAAAAACAATAAATCTATTTGGTCAAATTAAAGCTCAGGCATCCAGCCAAATAAAGGATAACTGCCATTTCAACTTTTTGACACAGTATAAAAGAACCGGATATTCTCAATTTCCAAAAAACCAGGACATAAGAGTGAAAAAAATATGCTTATTTAGTCTTACAGTTAGAAGCACAAATAGTAAGTAAATGAGGTATACGAGAACTGAAATAATTTACTGAAGTGAATCAACAATATTCTTTTGGTACTAAAAAGAATACACAGATTGAATATTCAAATTTTGTCAAGGTAAAAGTTTCATTCACCAAGATAATTATCGTCTCGCTTTATCCCAGTAAAGATTAATTGAAAAAATCTATGCCTAGTATTCTTGCTGAAGCATTTGAGCAACCCAACAGAAATCATAATATGCCGACCTGAAATGATTGACTTTTCCAATTTCACAGCCTATATAGTATACTGCCCAACCTAGTAAACAATTTAGGTACATGCACCCGAAATCTATTTTCTTTTTGTATCAACTAAAATACCAGAACTTCATCCTCTGATTCGTAGTTAGTCAGGTTTGGGGAATTGATACAAGTAGCACATACCAACACGATTTAGTTCGATAGAGAACTGTGATCCATATCAAGCATATCATTTCCCATAATGAGAGGTCAAGTAGCAAATTAGGTAGACTATGATCCTACTATCTTCCAGAATAGCAACATTGAGCATAAAACTAAAATTATAGCATATTATGGGTCCTTCCTCTCTACAACTACTTATAAAATTAATAAACATTACAACATTAAGAATCTAGAGAAGAAAAAAAACTTTCTTATAAACCGGATTACTACTCCAAGCTTCTAAAATTTCAGCAATGTCCCCTTTACCTTTTCACTCAAATCACTGCTTCCCAATCAACAAACAATATTCTAATTGTCCTTTCACTTCAAAACCCCTCTTTTCTCTCTCCAAATTCGGCTTGTATTCAAAAACCCAAATTTGATTTGCTAAATTAACATATTTCTCAAGAAAAAAATTAAACAATTTTTAATCAGAAAAAAAAGTAATTACCTGAATGAGTGACTGGAGCTTCTCTTGAAGACTTCGCTTCTTCTCATTAGCTTCCTTAAGCGCAGAACTCAAACTCCACAATCTAGCTAGCTTGTTCTCGAAATCTTCCCATTCAATTACTTGCACAGTATACTGTTCGGCATTGATTTGCTTCGGGCCGGTAATTAGGGTTCTGTCTCGGTCTTGTTGTTCTCGATTGTCCATGAAAGAATTGAAGAGGAAAGCTTTCGATTTTGAAAGTTCAAAAAGAGGCCAAAGATCGACCTCATGGTACTGGGTCTCGCCCGGTTAGAGTTCTTTCTTCACGAGGATCGAATCATTTTTCTTGGGAAAATTTGTTCACTTTTCTCGGGAAAATGCAAGGGGGGACGGAGAATGACAGGTGGCGGTGAACGGAGGATTTTCTCGATTCATGTTTAATTCACTTTCAGGTTGAGAAATGGCATTACAAGTAGGATTCTATTATCCGCGGGTAAAAATATTTTTAAAAGAGTTAATAAATTTATTTATTTTAAATAAATAAAAAAAATTAAGGCAAAAATCATCATAGGTCCCTGTATTTTCTCTCGATTAGGCTCTCCAACTCATAAAATAAATTCAGTGTTGTTTTTTATAATACTTTTTGTCGTTGACCATTACAATACTGACGTATCAGTTCATTGTACTGACGTGCAATCTGTCTACTATGTTTGAGTTATAAATTTAGTCAATATATCATGTCATCCGCCACGTTAATATGTCACCATATAGACTGTCATATCAGCACTATGAATTGTCACATTAGCATTGTACGATCAACGACGAAAAAATATTGGTCAAAGGGTCACATTAGATTTATTCTCTAAGTTAAAAAGTCATATTAAGAAATAAAATAATATGAGGGCTACATTAAATTTTTTTCAAAAAATAAAGGACCTCTGATGTTTTTTTGCCTAAAAATAGTGAAAATTTTAATATATATAACTTCTAAAAGATAAAGAAAATAAGAGAAGTGAAGGAAATTATTGTTATGGTTTTATTTTAATGAATAATGAAATTATTATTCTCTTTATAAATTTATATTTTATTTTATATTTAAACAATTAATAGTATTTTAACTAAATCGATTATACTTTAATTAAATGACATTAAATTAAATTCAATAAAAAATTATAAAATTATACTTTAATTAATGACCATAATTATAATTTACCCTTCAATAAATTTCGATAATGGAACATAAAAATTAGGATAAAATATATAAATGATTAACTATATTAAAATAATTATTTTAGTCTTTCGAGTTTTAGAAAATATAAAATAATAAAATATCGTTAAATTTCTAGATTGATTATAAAATAAACATTAAAATTTATAAAGTTATTAAAAATTGACATTAACTTATCAATTAGTTATAAAATAATCTTTAATTATATTAAAATTTGTTATTGTTTTATAACGTATATTGATTATTTTATAGGATAATATATACAAATAGTCTTTGACTATAAGAACTTATTTTGTTGAGTCTTCTATTACTAAAAGTTAGAAAATGGTTCTCTAACTATAATGAAATGTTTTGTTGAGTTTATCGACTATTTAAAGTTACAAAATGGTCACATGACTATTCATTATGCTCTAAACTCATCTATTTTCATTAAAAACATTAACAACAATCTGAGCTGGACGTTATAATGTTGACTAAAATATGATAAAATCTAATCTCAACGAGTATCGTATCTCAGTCAGCATGTTACTGTCCAGCTCATACGATAGTTAAAATTTTAACGGAAAAAGACGAGTTTAGAAAAAAATGAATAGTCAGATAATCATTTTTTTATTTTTTAATAATTGGGGAACTCAACAAAGCATTATCTTATAACTGAGAGACTGTTTGTGTACTTTACCCAATTTTATAAAGTTTAATAAATATAATTTTCACAATTTTAGTAGCTAAAATATTATTGGTTAAATTATGCATTTAGTATCTAAAGTATTAGTTTTATTCTGTTTAGTACTTAAACTTTCATTTTTTCAAAATCATACCTAAAGTTTTGTTTTTATTTCATTTTAGTACACCTATTCAAAATTTAATGTTAAATTTTGAAAAAATTGAAAGTTTAGGTACTAAAATGGGCCAAAAGTTATAGTTTATGTACTAAGCACGTTAAGTTTTTAACGGTTGGGTACTAAAATGAAACAAAAACTAAACGTTGGGTATGGTTTTGAGAAAATTGAAAGTTTAGGTACTAAAACGGATCAAAACTGATAGTTTATGTACTAAATGAGTAATTTACCCAAGATTATTTCAAACATAGTTTAGTGACTATTTGTGTATTTTAGCCTTAAAGACTATGATTTTATGAATGTATCCCTCCATACAATGCCTATTGAAAACAGTTGAAATGAAAAGTCTTCGTCTACTCTTCAAACGACACTCTTCTCCCGCTAAAACCAGCTCTTCTTCCTCCAAATTCAAAAACCCTAAACCTCCTGTCTCTAATGGCGCTGATTCATCGAAACAATCATCATCTCAAGATCCCCTTAAAACCCATTTCGCCTCTCTCATCAAATCCTCCGAAACCACCCTCCAGCTCCGCCACATCCAAGCCCAAATCCTGCGCCGCCGCCTCTCTTCCAGTGCCAACCTCACTACCCTCTTAATCTCCGCTTATTCTTCACTCAAATCAACTTCTTATGCACTCTCCGTTTTCAACAATTCCCACCACAAAAGCTTATTCCTTTTCAATGCTCTGATCCGTGGCTTAACGGAGAATTCCCGTTTCCAGTCCTCAATATCCCATTTTCTTCTAATGTTGAGACACAGAGTTCGTCCCGATAAACTTACGTACCCTTTCGTGATCAAATCTGTGGCGGGAGAGGGTCTTCGTTGCCTTGGCCTTATCCTTCATGGAAGAATAATCAAATCCGGGGTTGAGTTTGATACGTTCGTTCGGGTTTCGTTGGTGGAAATGTTTGTGAAACTCGAGGAAATGTGTTTTGCGTTGCAAGTGTTTGATGAAAGTCCTGAGAGAAACAAGGGCGAGAGTATACTGTTATGGAATGTGTTGATTAATGGGTTTTGTAAAGTGGGGAATTTGGGGAAAGCTATGGAGCTTTTCGAGGCTATGCCTGAGAAGAACATTGGCTCTTGGAATAGTTTGATAAATGGGCTTATGAGGAATGGAGATTTGAACAAAGCAACGCAGCTCTTTGATGAAATGAAGGAGAAGGATGTGGTTTCTTGGACTACAATTGTTAACGGATTATCACAGAACGGGGATCATCAGAAGGCATTGTCTATGTTCTTTAAGATGCTGGAGGTTGGCTTGAGGCCTAATGACCTTACACTTGTTTCGGCTCTTTCGGCTTGTGCTAAAATCGGTGCTCTCAAAGCCGGAGTCAGCATCCATAGGTATATTGTGGAAAATGGGTTTCAGTTTAATCAAGCAATTGCTACTGCATTGGTTGATATGTATTCGAAGTGTGGGAATATTCAGTCTGCTGACAAGGTTTTCGAAGAAACAAAAGAGAAGGACATTCGTACCTGGAGTGTCATGATATGGGGCTGGGCAATCCATGGATTTTATGGACAAGTTATCCAATGCTTCAAAAATATGATATTTTCAGGTGCAGATTTAGGAATTTTCATCGAGCTCGAATCACTTTTCTAATCTTTCAGAATGAACTCAAACCTGTCATGTTTGCAGGGATAAAACCTGATGCGGTAGTCTTTCTTGCCCTCCTGACCGCATGCTCACACACGGGGCTAGTAGATCTCGGGCTTAACTTCTTTGCCAGCATGAGGCTCGATTACTCGATCGAACCGACCATGAAGCATTATACATTGGTCGTTGATTTGTTAGGCAGGGCTGGCCGACTAGATGAAGCGATGAAGTTCATAGAAAGGATGCCTATAGGTCCCGATTTCGTGACATGGGGAGCACTTTTCTGTGCTTGCAGAGCTCACAAAAATATCAAAATGTCAGAACTAGTGTCACAGAAGCTCCTTCAGCTTGAGCCTAAACATCCCGGGAGCTATGTTTTCATGTCAAACGTTTACGCTGCAGTTGGGAGATGGGAAGATGCAGAGAGAACAAGAACGGCGATGCAGAGTCGAGCTGTCGGCAAAGATCCAGGGTGGAGTTCTATCGAAGTTGATGGACAAGTACACAGTTTCGTAGCCGGTGATCATTCCCATAAGCACACGAGAGAAATATACCTGAAACTAGAGGAAATAGTGGCCGGTGCAAGAGAACAAGGATATATGCCCGAGACCGGGTGGGTACTTCATAATATCGAGGAAGAAGAGAAGGAAGATGCATTAGGAAGTCACAGTGAGAAATTGGCTCTTACCTTTGCCTTACTGCACACTTCTTCAGGGACAACTATCAGGATAGTGAAGAACTTGAGAGTATGTGGGGATTGCCATTCCCTGATGAAATATGTTAGCAAGATGAGCCAGAGGGAGATCGTGTTGCGAGATATAAAGCGATTCCACCATTTCAAGGATGGAGCCTGCTCATGTGGAGATTATTGGTAAAATGGTAAGTAACAGCAACATTAATCTGATTTGCTGTTCATGTAGGTAAGCCAATTCAAATAAAGAAACTTGTTTAGTAATTGGTAGCATGTGCATTATGATTGATCCAATGCCAATTTAGTTATTATGGACTTGTTCCTGCACCCTTGATGTATACCCCCATCTGTTTTTGGAAAGAATTGAAGAACTTGCCGCTCACTGTATTGCTTGATACTTGGCCATAAGTGATGAGTTCGTGGCAGCTACGAACGGGAGGCAGCGTTTAGGGCGATAGCTTGTCACCACGCCGGACAAGTGGTGGCCTGCTTTGCACGTCCTTTACCTGCCATGATTGCTGCTAGTTTCGTGGAGGTAGATGCAGCCGCCGCTGGATTAAAATGGGCAGTGGAAAAAGGGTGGACTGATATCTAAAGCTATTATATCTATCGTGGAGTTCCATTTACAAGAGGCTTTGGAGATTTTAACACCACAAATCTTCGGCACGATACAAACGGGGCAGCTCATGCGTTGACAAAATAGTCTTTGGATTTTGATGAGAATTTATATTCTAAATTGATTGCCCCGTTTGTATTTCAGGCATTGTATTTTATGAAGTTATTTACGGTTAATTAATATAATATGTAGGGATGGCGTACGAGTATAATTTCGTGGATTTTATACCGTATCCGCATCAATTGAAGTGAGAATATATATAAGTTTAGTGGGTAATGGACGGGTATAGATGTAAAAAGTCATACTCAACGTGAGTAGTAGGTAGGTGATGAGTTTGAGACTTTATTCGCCTTGCATCCGTACACTTCACATCCACTTACTCACTAACTACCTATAATATAAATTTTGAACCATTATGAATTTAGTATAATTTTAGAGATTATTCTGTAAATCTTAAGATTTTATTAGATATAACTTGTAATTATCCAATTGTTATGGTATAAACATTTTTAGAATTAAAGACGATTATTTCTCCTATCTCAAATTGACGGGCATAGGCGAGTACGAGATGAATGATATGTATCTAATTGAATAGTAGGTGTGGGAGTAGATTTAAAAATGTTTTCGCTGGGTGTGAATTTTAAAATTGAGTGGAGGTCAATAAAAATAATTTCAAATTTCAAATTGAATAGTTGTATGAGTTATTTGAGTCAGCTTGAATTAGTAGTTTTGATTTTCAAGTTATAATCGAGTTTGAATTTTAAAAGTTCGAATGTGTTATTTTTTGTCTTGAGCTTTAACTAAATAATTTGATTGTTCGTGACTTGGTCCATATGTAACTTCAATTCTTCTTTTTAATATTTTTTTTAATTTAATCTCTCAAAATTATATTTTATTCAATTTGACCTATCAACTACAACTCTTTGCAAATTTCTTTTTCTTATCAATCCCTTGACTTAAATTAAATTATGTCACTTCAATTCTTTTGTAAATTCATTTTTCTTATCAATCCCTTGACTTAAATTAAATTATGTCACTATCAATTCTTTTGGTCAATGTGTAACGGTCGGGTTAAGGTCGGAGTTTTTGTCAACTCGACCTGATCCGACCCAAAAATAAGTATCCTCCACCTGAATTTGATCCGACCATGTATAAATTAATAATTTAATTAAAATAATAATAAATATTTTAAGAAAATTACATTATTATCCTCGGGTTGGGTAAGGGTTTTTTCACCCTCCACCCAAACCCGACCCAACCTTATCTCTTAAAAAATCCGATCTGACCAGACCCAAACTCAAATTTTTTATAAAAAAATCCGAACCTGACGAGTTCGAATTAAATCGTCATCCCTATCCTACCAAATTTAAAATTAACGAAATTAAGTTACTTTTAAGGTCCTATCAGTTTCAAAATGTTTTAAAAATAATGAAATTAAATTAAACAACTTAATGTCTACAGTTTCAAATATGGAGTTACTACAACATGAAAAATGGGCTTTCTTCAATTATGTTCCAGATCAAACAAGATTGTATGATCGATCTGAAGTTGATTGTAATCAATAATAATGATGATCACATGGAACTTGAGCATAACCAAAGTCCAAAGCAATGAATACAATCTCTTGCACCATCAAAGGACCCCCGTAGACTTTTATCAAGACAACATGGATTTACTTTGATTTTTTAAAAGGGTAAATTACACCGTTCCTCGTTGAATTACACTCTCTCTCCTATTTTCCTCACTCAACTTTCAATTTGATCAATTTGCTCACTAAACTTTACAATCGAATCATTTTGCTCACTCGACCGTTTTCAATTAAAATAGAAGGTGGTCATACCACCGCCGCCCACAGTCGACCGCCGTAGATGGTGATCGTTTGGTCATAAAATGGGATGGGTTGTTTCGTCTAGACACCTTGAGTCTGAATCTGACCTCTATTTTTGTTGGAAATTACTCATGTTTTAGTCTAAATTTACGGGTTTTGAGACAATTTTTCGGTGAAACAACCACCAGATTCGGACTCAAGGGTCATGACGAACCGGCCCATGAAATTTGAGACCGAATGACCACCATCTACGACGGTCGAAATGAAAATGACGTGGTGCCCGTCAGAGAGAAAATGAAGAAGAGAAGGAAAAAGGATAATTTATACCATGAGTCATTGAACTTTATTCCTTCTCCTATTTTACTCACCGAAACGATGTCGTTTTGGAGTATATTTGATTTTTTCAAAACGACATCGTTTTTATGCCTGTGTCACGTCATAATGTCGTTAAATAGTTGACAGAGTGAGCAAAATGATTCAATCTGTAAAGTTCAGTGAGCAAATTAATAAAACTGAAAGTTGGGTGAGGAAAATAAGAGAGAGTAAAATCCAGTGAAGAACGATATAATTTACCCTTTTTAAAATAATGATTCCTTTTTTATGCATATATGTATAGAAAATTAAGTGTCCCGCCATTGATCTTAAAGTAATGTAATAATGTAAAGAAAGAAGCATAGTGAGCAAGAAAGGTTGTATTGTCAAAAACTATAATCTAAAAGAAACATGTGTCCATGTCCCCCTGTTTCCAGTGTGGTTTCAAACATATAGAACCAAGCCTCACCATCATTTCCATATGGCTTTCATATCTTAAGAGTATTTTTATCTATTTAGTTGCGTTATACATGATGTAAGTTAGGATGGCAAACCGACGTTGCGAGTGCGGATACCTTTTTTCTCATCTCCGTATCTATCTAATATTTTTGTATCCGCCAATTACCTATCACCCACGATGGATTTTTTTTTTTAAATCTACACTCACCCATGTGGGTGTATTCTCAAATTCACATCCACACCCACTACTCAACCGACAACCGATTATCCACCACTCATCTCGTACCCATCTGTACCCGTTCATACCCGCTTGGCAGCAACTTCACTGATTATATAAGTGAGATTATTCAATTCTAAAAATGTTATACCCTGAAATTTGGTTAAATTATAGACAATGTCCTATAAAATCTTAAGATTTACAGAATAGTCTCTAAAACTATACCTAAATTCATAATAGTCCAAAATTTATATGGCAGGTAGTTACTGGGCGAGCGGATATGGGAAGGGTAGATGCAGGGTGGGTAAGGTCTCAAACCCTTCACCTACCCACTACCCACGACAGATATGACTTTTACATCCACATCGCCCACTACCCACTAAACTTATATCCATCCCCCACCTTAATTGGATCAGATGCTATGTAAAATCCACGAAATTGTATCCGTTTATCACCCTAATGTAAGTAATCGATAACAAAAAAAGAAAAAAAAAGTTATGTAAAACATATTTTCAAAAAATTATATTAGAAGAGAGAAAATACACTATATTAACAGCAAGAAAATATAAAAGATATCACAAGATATACACAACAAACCTTAAACGTTCCACAATACAATCTAATACAAAATCTTAAAAACTAAGTATATATTTATAGTTGGATGAAAATTCAAAATTCTAGAATAATATTTTATCATAAAACGAGCGATCCCCACAGATTATTTTTATTACAAATCTTTATTTTTCCTTTTAATTTATTTATTCATCAAATAAGTTGTATAATGATCTTTTTCGAGTCGAGTCGAACCAAAATAAAATTTAAATTACAATCTCTAACGAATTATATATAACATTAGTGAATATACCTAGGGATGGGCATGGGTTGGGTTTCGGTCTACCTAACCCGACCCATAAAATATATACCCTAACCGACCCGAAATCTGACCCGATTTTTTGAGACAAAATCCGAACCCGATCCGACCTGACTCAAAATAATAAAAAATATTATTTTTATTCAATAAAAACAATGATTTAATTGAAAAAAATAATATATAGAGAGGTATTATTATAATTATTCCTAAATATATAAAATAAAATTATATTTTTTGGGTCGAATATGTTTTACCCTAAGCCCGAATCTGACCTGAACATCACCTTTAAAAAACCCCACCCGATCCGAACCTAAATTTTTTTAAAAAAAATCAGACCCGATCGTTCGGGTCGGGTCAGAACCCGTCGAGTTCGGGTGTCATGCCCATCCCTAAATATACCTAATAATTACACTAAATCATTTCAAATTTAAAATTACCTTAAAACTATTTTAAATTAAATAATTTTGAATTGATTTCAAATTACTAACTAATATTTATCTAGTTTATAATTTTATTATTAAATCCACAACTCCTCTCAATTACAAATAATTTTGGAGTTTAAATGTTGTTTTTGTTATGTAATTAAGAATGCATAATCAGATAACTAATTTAATTCAAACAAGGCTTAATACACTTTGTAATGTCTAGATTATATCTTAAGATACGATTTGGTGCTTAAAGAATTTTTTGTTAATAATAAATATTTAATGTTTTTTTGATACACTCTTAAGTGTTTATTGTTATATTTTTTTAATTTTTTAATAATAGAAATATTATTTAGAAAATAATAAAATCACTTAATTTATTTATAAAAAATCCCAAATTTTTATTAAAATTATATAAAAAATTTGAAAAATTAAAATCTCTCATTCCATCTCATTTCCAACTGTCGCCTGTCATCTACAACTACCATCGTCATCGTCGAACGGTCGCCCGCTTAGTGATCAGTCGTCGATCTTACCATCACCCCAATCTCTTAAATCCTCGATATCCAAATCCGTGATCCATTAAAACCCTAATTCCCAATTTCAATTTTCACGAATATACATTTTTTTCGAGCAGCGGCAAGGTTTTAAATTTGTAAAGGATTTAGTATTTAACTTTGCAATGGAGTTTTGATTTTGTGTGGACGGGAGAAGAGAGAAGGGGTCAAGGAAGGGACACTTGAATTTTTTTTTATAAATAATATATTTATTTAAAACTATTAGACTTTTTTAAAAATTTATATGTATGACACGTGTCAAATAATAGTTAAATCTAACGATCGTTATGATTCAAACATCTAAAAATATAACATTAAAAATATTAAATACATAATATTAATAAAAATAATTCTTTAAATACCAAATCATATTTTAAAAATTTATTTAAACACTAAAAAGTGTGTTAAGCCTTCAAACAAACAAAGTCACCATCGTTAAAATGTGAAACAAAATTAAAATTGTTAATTTCTTATTGGTCCTTCAACTCCACTCTATCACGGTCATGTCACTCAATTTTCGTTTCCACCTCCTGGAACTTGACGCTATTGATTTTATTATTATTATTTTAACAAAATTAATTTTTTTTACCTAAAATATTATTATTTTATCTGATTGTTAACAAAATCGCTAAAACGCTTAATAATAACAAAATCAATAGAAATAATAATATTTTTAATAATTTTTTACAAATTTTATTAAAAAATAATAACAAAATCGTTAACTTTTTTTTTAATCATATATTAAAGTTATCGCACGTGAGACTTTCCATCCACCTCCACTCTCCGCGAAGCGAAGAAATCAGAAATAATAATAATAAATCCAAATTCAAACAATAATTTAAACAACCCCTACTCTCTCTTTTTCTCACAATTTTCCCAAAATTTTAATTTAATTAATTCATTGTTTTGATTTCACGAAGGATCAAATCTCGATTCCGATCTTGAAATGGTGAGGAAGCGAGTGCCTGATTGGCTCAACAGTTCGCTTTGGTCCACGACTCCCGCCGACGATCGCCTGCACCTCAACTCCCCTTCTCCAGCCACCGCTTCCGCCGCCTTTTCCGAGCCGACTCCTCAGCCTCCGGCTCCAGTGCCTCCTCCTCCCGCCGCCGCCGCAGCCTCGAAACCTCAGTCCACTCCTGTTCCTCCAAAATCCGAAACCAAGGATCCAGTTAATAAAAATAGTAACCAGAATAGCGGTGGTAATGATCGAAACGGCGGCTCATCTGACGCTTCTCTCAACGATATCTCTCGCCAGGCTCAGCTCTTATCCGAGGTTTTTTTTACGTGTTCTCCTTTATTAACCGATTCTCTTCTTCTACTTCTTTAACTTCATTCTTTTTTGTTTCTAATTTCTATTTTTTTCAGTTGTCTAAGAAGGTGATAAATATGTGGGAATTGAGGAGGATTGCGTCGCAGGGACTTCCCGATGGTGCAGGGATTAGATCTACTGTGTGGAAGGTAGTTTTTTCTTCCTTTCCCTTTTTAATGTTTGCTTGCCGAGAAATTTGAAAATTGTGGAAAATCCTCGGAAAATGTGGTTTTTCTTTGGATTAATACTGAAAACCGTGTTGTTTGGTTATTGTGGTAGTTGTTGTTGGGGTATTTACCACCTGAACGTGGGCAGTGGTCTTCAGAATTACCTAAGAAAAGGTCTCAGTACAGGCATTTTAAGGAAGAGCTCTTGATGAATCCTGTAAGTCATTTTCTTTACCTTTTGCTTGATAAAATATTGTACATGATTGAGTACGCAACTATGACATTCATTCTGTGGTTGAGCTAGTTGCGAGTAAGTATGATATGATTATTTGCTTTGCTCAATTCTAATGTAAATTCCAACATCATCTATAGAGTACTAAGTGGATAAGAAATGAAGGAAATCGATTTTAGCAGAGCAACTTACTATTTAATGGGAGAAAAGTGAGGTTTATCCAACTCTTGCTGGATGTACATTGTTTTCTCTCCTAATAATAGAACGACTTTGCTCTAGTTTATTATTTTTTTCTGCATTATTGTCCTGAAAAGTAGTTTTATCTTTTTTGGTTTTTGTCTTTCACTTCCTTTTTTTCTTGTAAGAGTTTTGGGGTTTCTGAATGTTTCTGTGGCTAGTCAGTCCAAAATCACAAGGAGGTTGGAGAAGTCTTTGACTTGTGACAATGATGAATCAAAATCCGAGAGCAAGGGTCTGCTGTCAAGATCACAAATAACTCACGGAGAGCATCCTTTGAGCCTTGGGAAAAGCAGTGTCTGGAACCAATTCTTTCAGGTACCTTCTTAGGCTTGTTTGAAAATAAGCTTTTGGAAGCCATACATCATTCCATGTGTTTTAAAACTTTTAATGTCTGAATGTGTTAAATATAACATTGTAAAACTTGGTTAATATTGTTTGAATTAATTAAGTTTTAAAACATGAGTCAGTCTAGTAGTCTTCATGTTAGTTTTCTGTAGCATTTTGCACAACATGCAGCCTTGGAAAATATTAGCGTTGCAGTATCTAATCTTTAATTTACCAATAATAATTTCTTTGGTATTGGATATTTCTATAATTTCTTAGAGACCGGTGTTTAGTATTTATAATGTTAATGTTGTTTAGCAACATAGTTAGGAGAGACTGCAGCATCTAAACTTCCTATTGATGCAAGCCTTAACCTAAGTTAAAGGAGGGGGAAAATTACACAGTCAACACAATTCAGCCAACTCGGTTTCCATCATCGCTTAGTGGGCAAACGTTAGCCGAGTATTATTTCAAATACTAGAATATGTGACAGCAATGCAAGAGAGTTCTGATTTTCAGTTTTTAATAGAATCTATGCATGGAGTGTTTATTGATCTCAAACCTTTTTTATTTTTTATTTTGGGGATGGGGTTATTTGTAGGAGTCAGAAATCATAGAACAGATTGAGCGGGATGTGATGCGCACTCATCCAGACATGAACTTCTTCTCTGGGGACTCACAGCTTGCAAAATCTAATCAGGTAACCATCTTTTCTTTTATTCTTTCATGTGAATTTATTGTTTCACCCCTTTTGACTTAAGTTTGGATATGGATTAAAATAATTTCGGACTTATATGGATATTGCTTGTTCAGGATGCAATGAGAAACATATTAATCGTATTTGCCAAGTTAAATCCGGGTATAAGATATGTTCAAGGAATGAATGAAATCTTGGCACCACTATTTTATGTATTCAAGAATGACCCTGATGCAGAAATGGCGGTAAGATCTCATTATTGTCCCCATCCTGTTCTTTTATATTACATCTCCACTATTTTGTAAAAGATATTAACCTACTAAAGTATAAAGAATATGATGCAGCAGCTTTTTTGTTAAAGAAAAGGAAAAATATGTGATTGTTTTGATTTTCTTTTATTGAATATGGAAGGATGTTTCCATGATTTTATTGTTTCTGTTTGCAACTCCATTGCATCAAATCCATCTCTTTTCTTTCCCCAAGCTACCAAAAAAGTTATAACAAAAACTTGCAAATAGATTGCAGCTTTCGGAAAACAGTATGGTAATGTTCATTTATCATTATTGTTATCAACTTAGCAGACACATATATGTTGTATTCACCAAATAGGGAGTATCTCTGCCAACATATAGCCATAGACCAATTACAATGTCAATAACCATTGTAAGAATAACATAGATTTATGGTCAAAGTATTGGTTGAGTATTTTCTTCAACATTTTCCATATTTTAAGTCTTGCAGGCTGCTGCCGAAGCTGACACATTCTTTTGTTTTGTTGAGTTATTGAGTGGATTTCGTGATCATTTCTGCCAACAACTTGACAACAGCAATGTGGGAATTCGTTCCACAATTTCTAGGTTATCTCAGCTTCTGAAGGAACACGATGAAGAGCTTTGGCGTCATCTTGAGATCACAACCAAAGTAAGATATCATTGCAAAATTTAAACATCTTTTATATCTTGACTCATGTATCTTACCTGCAAAATTTAAACACTTTCACCTTTGTCGTTTTCCGCACCTTGTCGAGGTAATTAGTTTGGCTTGAATGCTAACTGTTGTGTTTAAATATCACAGGTCAACCCCCAGTTCTACGCATTTAGGTGGATTACTTTGCTCTTGACACAGGAATTCAACTTTGCGGACAGTCTCCACATATGGGACACGCTTCTTAGTGACCCTGAAGGCCCTCTGGTATGATTGCAATTTTTATCCCTCACTCAATTCTCTAGAACTTTGCTATAAGATTGTTAACTTTGCTGGATCAAATCTTCCAATTGTCATCATTATTTAACTCTGGGAAATTAGGGGAGGAGGTTGGGGATGGTAACGGTGTGGGGGCGGGTTAGATTTTTTACCGCACTGACCCAGACCCAAAAATTAGGAGTTTCGCCCGACCCCGATTTCAGTAGAATTTAATCCAACCTATAACCCGAAAACCCCAAAATTTTAACAAAGCCCAGCTCTCCCCGTCTAGACCTCCAAAATTTTAATAAAACCTTAAAATATATTATATAAAAATAATTATAAAATAAGAAAAGGATATTTTAGCAAATATATTGAGGCAAGGCAATGTGGGATTCACTTATAGCCAATCCTGACTTAACCCCAACAATTTAATGAAAAAACCTGACCCCAACTGCGCCGGGTTAGGACCCATCAGGGTCGGGAAAATTGCCATCCTTAGAGGAGATAGGGCATGAGTTTGAACGCTTTACAGTTAAATTGATCAAATGTACATGATTGGTTTACTAGTTCTAAAACAAGCATGCATGTGTTTTCTGCAGGAGACGCTGCTACGCGTGTGCTGTGCGATGTTAATTCTCATTCGTAGGCGCCTGCTGGCTGGTGATTTCACTTCTAATCTCAAGCTACTACAAAACTACCCGTCCTCAAACATCAGCCATTTGCTGTACGTCGCGAACAAGTTGCGCACACAAGCCATAGGCTAAAACGCGTTTAGAATTCGTGTTTTTTTTTATCATTGGCCCATCCCCCTCGAACCCTTTTGCTCTTCGATTCGAAAGAGAAAAAGAAAAAAAAGAAATCAGTGCTTGTAACGTAAATTGTTTTGGGAGAAACAGCTAACATGCAGGTAGAGAATAACTTCTCTTTGTTTCCGTTTCATCAGAGCTGTGTTTGAAAGTGAAAATTATGTAGCTTTTGTCTTCTTTTATATGGTGGATTTTTTTTTTGCAGTGTGCCTTTTTCTTTTTCATTTGCAATACGGTTGCTGCTCTGTTGGGAGTTTAGGATTTGCAATAAGGATATCTTGATTGTAGATTTAGGGTATATCTAGTATTAATGGTGTAGGTTTTTTTTTTTTTGTTTTTTTTAATTATGGTATTTCTTTTAATAATCTGATTTTTTGTAGAATTGTTTTAATTAGATAAAAATAAATAATCTCTTTTAATTAGGTTTTTAAATTATTTTAATTAGATAATTATGATATTTTTGAAAAATATATGATTGAACTTAATCTCTTAGTTACGTTGCAATGATGATTTAACCAAAATTTTAATGGAAGAAAAGCAAAGAAATGCACATTTATCCTAGAATAAAAGTGGGAAAAATATTAATAGATTGGTTCAAGTGGTAAGTAATTTGATATCATTTGGTGGTAAGTAATTTAATATCATTTAAGTAGGTATTGAGTTCGAGGTTCTATGAATACAAAAAATCTCTGTGGGAAGACTCATTCACCAAAGTTATATGTGCGAAACAGGTTGATCTGGATTAGTCAGAGAAAAGTCTCGTGGAACCGAGAGGGTAACCAAAAAAATATGAAAAAATAATTCTGCTTAATAGTATCTAGCCAAAAAAATGCATTAAAGACCCCTGTATGGTGTTGACAGGGTCTACGATGCTGACATGATAGTTTCATCTGTCATGTTTGAATTGTCAATTTAGTACATCTGTCATGTCACCCATCATATTATCAACCACTGTGGGTTGTTATGGGCTGTTACGTTAGCACCATAACAGTCTACGATAAAAACGTTAGTCAAATGGTCATATTAGGTTTAATTTCTGAGTTGGAGGGCCTCAGAGATCACTATACAGTGCTGATATGACGGTTTACGGTATTAACGTGGTAGTTTCATCTGTCATGTTTGAATTGTCAATTTAGTCCATCTATTATGTCATCTACCATATTATCAACCACTGTGGACTGTCACGTCAGCACCGTAACGATCAATAATAAAAAACATTGATCAAAGGGTTATATTAGATTTATTTTATAAATTGGATGGTCACATTGGAAGGCAAATAATACGATCGCCACATTGGTTTTTGCATTTTTATGTAGTACATAATTAAATAAATTACCTTCGGCCATTTAAAATATAACCGACCTTAGCTCAGTTGGTAGAGCGGAGGACTGTAGTTGGTAAAAGCCTTCAGTTTGATCCTTAGGTCGCTGGTTCGAATCCGGCAGGTCGGATAAATTTTTACCTTTATTCAACATTTTTTTTCCAATTTTTCTTTGTTAATTTCATTAGGCTTTTCCTTTCATTAGCAAAAACAAACAATTAGCATATCGATAACCCCAAATCCAACAGCTATCAGCCACTTCAAGATATGGTAATCACTCTGAATTTCCCTTTTCTATACTTCAATCTGTTTGGTTGCCCAGAAAGTAACTAGAAAGTTAACAAACATTGATATTTACGTTACAGATCAGTTGTAGATCAAATGCTTTACGTTCCGTCTTTTCTTATATAAGAAAAAATCAGTTTCTTTTTCCTTCCTTTTTAATCTTGGATCCAATTGCTTGAACAAAATTAGTAATTCTTTAATTGATTCTGTATTTCATCGCAAAAGCTTAATGCATTTCTTTAGTAATTATTCTTACTGATTTGAACTAAAAAGAATAGGCGAATCCATTGAAGCTGTATTTAACTTGCGTAAGGAACACTCTCGACGCTGCTATGTGTCTCCAGGTATGCAAATGAAGTTTATGAGTTTACTGTGAAGTAATTGCTGCAGAGTATCGATAGAGAACTGTAATGCCTGAAATTGATGTTCATAATTTTTATGATTGGATTTTTCGACTTTTGTCTGATTGAATTTGGATTTTGTGTTTCACTATTTGTGATTGTTAGAATTAATTGGAGAAGGAAGTTTAGCCATCAGCTTTTTGTTTGACATAATGCTACTGTACTAAGAGCTGACTTCTGAGGATTTAACTTAACCAGATTGAGATTGGAATGATTAGAAATGGATGACGTTGTTCATATTTCCAAGTTTTAGATTATAAAATGCTGTGTAAATCTGATTGCTACCAATGACTAATATGGTTCTTGGGGAGCTCTTTCGATTCGGAATTTGAAGGCCTTCTGAAGGTGGATAATGAATAGAGGAAGATGTTCTTCCTCCAATTTGAAATCACCTATGCGATTTCTACATTTTTTTTTTGCAAAATTTAAATCAATTCCAACCTATATCTTTTGTTCTAGATTATTTTTGGTTTAAATTTGAAAATCTCTTTGTTTTTATGTTAATTTTGGATAATCCTTTTGTGCCCACTCAGATAGTCAGATACTTTACCTGTACTCTAGTTACGTGGAATTTTTACGCACTGTGTTGTTAAAGACGTATTTCAAGTAATTGTGTTTGCTTGGCAAAGACCTTAGGTTGTCAAATTTTGCTTTCTACATGATATATGTGCTTAATTCAATCTTCCTCTCTTATTTACATGCTGGTTGCAGAATTTTCCTTGTCAAGAAGTTGAGAGGCATAATAAGCCAGAAGTCGAACTGAAGTATGTATATTGATTTCACGTTCATCTTTATTTTCTTGTTTTAGAATTTGACAGTTTTTACTGGATAAAGTTATATGAAAAGAGAGTGCTCAAAGTACTAACAAGGTGTGGAAAAATTAATAAGAAATGCTAATAGGCGTTGCTTCATGCATTGTTTTTTTAGTTTGGAATTATTTCATCATTCTAGAATGATCTTGCTACTTATCGTATGCTGATCATAGACCAGTGTGAACTGCTTTGCTTTTTAGTAACGCTCTTACATTTAATTGGCAAATTTCTCCCCAAATTATCAAGGTCTTGTTTAAATTTACTATTTGTAGATTTTCCCCCTCTTTCCTAAATAGAACTAATGCCATGGAGTTGGAGCTCCATGTAATTTGTATTTGTTCAAGCTAAATAAGTTATTTGATCCTTTTGGAATGGTTTTCTGTTTCTGAGATGCAGACATTGTTTCAAGTCTTCGAGGCCATTCATGTATGCTAGCCTTTTATCATGTTGTTTTGTTCTCGGAATTTTCCTATCGCATCTCTTTGTTTAGATTGCTGTGCTCCCTCCTCTCCCCTAGACTTTGACCTATCTGAAAATTCTAGTTTCTTCTTTTCTTCAACAAGATTTTCAGTGAGGGGATACTGGCTCCTTTATCTAGCAAGTTAATAGTTACCACTCTTATTTGTTTCTTTATTTTACTAGATATTTTACTCATTTTAAGCTTTTTTTGTGCTTGTTCATGCACTTTTAGTAGTAATTCATATGATTCTCTCTTTTTTGATGGCCAATTCTCTAGTGCAATGAATGGTACCTCGGAAGAAATTCAGTGAAAATCTACATGTTCTGCACCACAATATTCTACACTTCTGGGCAAACTTTTTATGTTTTTCCTTTTTATATTTTGCAGCACAAGCCCAGAACTTCTGCTAAATCCTCTAAGAACCATCTTCTTGACTTAAGAGACATATGCATATTATTCCTTGTTTCCCTTTTAGCTTAATTTATTACACACACACACACACACTGAAGAACGGCCAAATTGAAATTTATACCTTATTGGTTTTTCATTTTAATTCTTTGCTCGTCTTTAGTCCAAATTATCCTCATTTCTATGATTTGCTTTTGCTTTACAACAAATGAACAATTTAAGGAAGAAAAAACAAACAATATAAAGCAAGTAGCCAAAGCAACTATGAAATGGAGCCTAACTTTGTGTTTTCTGCATTTTCACTGTTGAGTTTTCGGGCGAATAAGAATCCACCTAGTATGGAATTTGTGTTTTTTTATATCAATCACTTAATATTTTGTATGTACCTTTAACATGTTTTTGAGATTGAACTGGAGGGTTGAAAAATGTAAGTTGGACAAATTAAAGCTTAATTTTACCTTGAAATAATGAAGCCATAGGGGTTTACATTACTAAATCGTCTGCCTCCACACTTGACATTTTCCATCTCTCAACTATCAATGCCCTGCACCTTTAGTCCTGCAATGTAATGATGAGGAATAACATCAACATGCATGCATCCAGTAGAAACGAATTTATGTGATTTAATTGGTGGAGTTAGAAAATGACTAGTTATTTGTTCAATTCTCCCCTGTCAAACTTTCTTTTACGCCACTGGTTTGGATCTTTTTAATATGCCCATTTTCAATTGCAGGTTTTGATATGTCGAAACGAGGCTGAAAAATGCTTAATAGAAACGTCTATCAATTCACTACGGATAAGCCTCAAGGTGAAAAAAAATAATCTTTCCCTGGATGTTTCTTTTTCCAGGTAGAAGTAATTGCTGCAAAAAGGGTCTGAATATTTTTCCTGCTTTTAGATTAAATAAAAAGCATTACATGCATGATGTCTTCTCTTCGAATTAAATTTGTTGGATTCGAGATAAATAAAATAACCATTCTAGTGCAAGTTTATTCTTAACTAGTATCGGGATAAATTTTGCAAATTTTCTCCCATTTTGTTCTCATGCATATGCTCTATCTTCTTGTATAGGTAAAACAAGGCCGATGAACTTGAAAATATACTAGCTTTTGTCAATGAGGGCAGAAGCATTTCAAGTTATGAGAAGAAAACCAGTTCAGGTACATACATTTTGGTCTCTAGTTGAACCTCGATCGCCTTCGAAATTATTTAGCTTGACAACTTGATTTGATTAAACATCCAACTTGCCTTGAGGAATGATTATGTGTACATTGTGCAAAAGCAATCATGATTAACATTTACGAATTGAACAAAATAGAGAGCAGAGAAAACACCATGATGAATTGTGACTGTTATAATGTAATTCCTTCTTTCACCTTTGTTCGAGTCGATAAATAATAAGTTCGTAAAGCGTGTTCTTGGATTACGATACATGTTTATCGTAAATGTAATCCAAAAATTTCTTGTCTTCACGGTTCGAAATGCTTGCGGAATTTCTAGATGATTTTTATTCAATTGCTTGCTTCATGGAGCAGGGTTACGACATCAGTTTCCTTATCACAAACTATCATTGTAAAGAGATGCAGAAGCAAAAGCTCATTGATTTTATCGTGCAGTTCATGGAGGTAAAAATTTTCTTAACCCTTCTCCGTCATCTTTCTTTTTCGATCATAGAATGCGGATCTCTATTTAATCTTACATAACCGAATTTTAAGAAATATCGATAAATTCATGGAAAATAAAGAATTAGAGCATATAGATTCCAGCTACGCGTCTGATTTTGCTAAGAAGGGTTTGAAATGAACCGGTTCTTGGCCTATCACTATCAAAGTTCTATCGTTTGTCCGGTAGATAATGTCGATAAACGAATTGAAAATGTCGGTAAGTACGCGAGGGAGGTTGGTGGCAACGGAGTTTTTAAAGCAGTTTCTTTAAATTCTTCACTATTTGAATGAATCTGGGTTTCATTGCCCACAATTGTGATCCTTTATAGATCAGTAGCCACTGTAAGGTATGCTTGATCAAACAAAGAAGAATTCTCTTCCTCTTATGTGTGCTTATGTTCATATATTGTGTGTACTCTGATAATAGACTTGGTAAAAAGTCAGAACATAACATTATAAAACAAAGTTTACACTACCGACTACCACTTGGTCTAACAGTATGAGATGTTAGATTTAGAGTTCGAATATTAGTGTCGTAAACAAAGTAAATTTGGTTCGAAGGGTTACTCTAATTGATAGATTTTTTACATTATTCGGTTCGGATTAATCGGTCAATGAATCAGATAAAAAATGAGATAATCAATCATCACATTACACCATATGATTTGATATGTCAAATTTTAATCGAGTTTAAGAAATTAGAGCCCTTGTAGTAGGTTAGTGCTTCCCGCAACTAGGGGCGGAACGAAAGAGGGACCAGTGAGGGCATGCCCCCACTCATTTAAAAAAATATAAATTAGACATTTAAATTTTTAAAAAATTTTAAAAAATTTTAGAAATTCATATTAAACTATAAAATTTGTTAATATTCCTAATTAAATCCTCTCCAAATTCTCATTATGTCTACTAAAATTTTAGTTAGACACTATCTTATTGGAAAAAATGTAGATTAAATGCTTTAAAGATTTTAATTTAAACTTCTGAATATTTTAAAATTTTAAGTTAACCCTTAAATTTTATTATCAAGTTCCGCCATTGCTTGCAACCATGGCGAATTTTGAACCTCGTGTAAATCTTTTTGTTAGGTCTAGCTTGACGTGGAGCGTTGTTGTAATCTGCAGTTATTTGAATAAATTCGACAGTAGAATAAAAAGAATCTTAAATATAATTATGCCATACACCTCAAATGCTTACACTTTCACGGTTACAAATAACTGCCCTCACACGATATGGCCCAGAACACTCGCCGGTTCGGGGACTCCACGGCTTGCGTCAATGGAGTTGCAGTCGGATGCAGGCCAAAGTGTGAGGTTCCCATTGATTCCTGCAGGTTGGTCGGGTCAAATTTGGGGACGGAATGGGTGCTCGTTCGATGCCACTGGTGTCGGGTCTCGTCGGACCAAAGATTGTGGTGAAGCATCAATGTGATGGCATTGACATCCGGCATATTTAGGGAAGATCAATAGTGTTCCTGTTTCACTCACTATACTTTCAATATTTTTAATTTGCTCATTAAACTTTTAAATTTTTCTGTTTTCATCACTCTAAATTATTTTATTATTATTTAGATATGACATGGCATCTTCATATATTATTAACTATAAAAATAATTTATTATTAATAATAAAATGATATTTTATTATTAATAATAAATTTAAAATGATTTAAAATAATCACCGACCCTTCTCGTTACTATCGACCACAATCTAAATTTAATTTTATATTAAATAATAATAATATATTATGTCATTTCCTAATAATAATGAAATAATTCATAGTGACCAAAATTACTCTAATAAAAAAAAAAAAAAAAAAAGTTCAATGAGTGAAATAGGAGACAGAGTTTTGTGATGAATGGTTTAGTTTACCCTAAAATAAATTTTTAGGTGAATTCAAATCTTAATATTTCATTTGAAAATATAATATCTCTATTCAAATAAAATAAAATTTAATAAAAAATATTTTTATAATAAATATTCACAATACTCGAATAAAATTAATCTGTTAATAAATGAAATTCAAACAATTATAACGGTCCAATGTTTGTCGGTATAGCTCGAGAAAAACCTACTTGTAGCAAGAAATAATTCATTTCAATGACTCTTATTTCCACTTTAATTTCTCTCTCTCATTAGCTAACTCAATAATTCGTTCATAATAAAGCAACTTTTTCAAGGATATAACTTTTTCCAACCGTTAAAAATAAGTACCTAAACTATGCTTTTTTTTAGGTACTTCAATTATTTTTTTTGTCAAACTAGGCACTTAAACTATTATATTTAATAATTTTAAGTTCTATTTTTTTAGTTAGAATAGTATTTTTTTTTTACTAATAAGATGTTGACACCACATTCAAAATTAGGTATTTGTTTTGATTAAAAAATATTTTAGGGGCTTAAATAAAAAAGGGTATAGTTTAGGGACTTACTTTTACAAAAATAAATAGTAAAGGCACTTAAAGTGATTACATATAATAGTTTAAGTACTTAGTTTGTCCCAAAAATAGTTTAAGTACCTAAAGCAAAAAAAATAACATAGTTTAAGTATTTATTTTAGTTTAAGCCTTTTAAAACAAAATCTTATACGATTTGATTCGAATTAAATTAATCAAGTAAAATGTTTAAATCAAACAGGTGATTTGTTCAATAGAGGGGGTTAAATTGATCTGTTTAATATTCAAAGGACCAAACAGGTGATTTCACCAAGGAAAGACATGGTGTAGTTCAACTCATTTTATCATCACATTTTAGTGAAATTACAACTCATTAGGAGCTTTTCTTCTTCTTTTTTCAAAAGAGATGGGGATCCGATGCTTTATGATAAGTTGGAATGAGAATAAATATCTAAAATTCTAATCTTAGAACGCACGTCTCGATTCGAGTCGATTTATGATATTTCTTCGAGTAAAGGGAACAACTTATTATACCTTCAGAGGTCACTTCTAGAAATTACCGGCTCTCTGCCAGTCGAGACCTCTAAAGCTTTCAAAGAATCTATATCTTTCAAGCATAGGGGTATCACAACCTCCGAAGTTATAGTGCACAGACATAACAGGCACACATGACCTACTATAGTGAAATCCAAGATATGACAATGAGGTCTATTTATTATGCTAACCTACTAGTAGTCGTAATTATTCTATGTCTGACATCATCAACTAGAGTCGCTATAAATATCTTTCAACTGTAACCGAGAAAAGGATCCCCTCCACTCTCTTCTCCTTCTTCACTCACATCTTCTCGTTATATTTTTATATCTCACAAACAAAAATCAATGACCGTTACTTTATCGATTGTGACTCTCCACTCAAATCGAAAGAGACGAACCACCAACAACTAGTTAGATAAATTTATTTTGATCAACAACGATAATCTTAATACTACATACAAAAATGAAGTAAAAAAGTTTATATAATAGGATTTAGGTGAAATTAATTTTTTTTGGAAGGACTAAAGCTAATTTTTTATATTAAAAATAAAAATAAAATTATTAATTTTGAATCGACATATTAACAACAATATATAATTATTTATGCATTATCAGTTATCATATGATTTTATCTCACTAAAAATAAAATAATTTTTTTAATCTTCAATTATTCAACAAAGCAATTTAGATGGAGCCTTGCATTACTTTCTCATGCTAAAATCTAAAAGCAAAAGTGGATTAGTTAAAATATAATAAAAGGGTTAACTACGCATTTAGTACCTAATCTATCAATTTTGATATGTTTTAGTACCTAAATTTTTAATTTTTTCAAAATCATACCTAATGTTTAATTTTTATTTCATATTAGTATCTCATCGTTAAAAACTTAACGCGATTAGTACATAAACTATCATTTTTGTCCCATTTCAGTACCTAAACTTTCAGTTTTTTCAAAACTTAACGTTAAATTTTGAACGGGGTACTAAAATAAAACAAAAACTGAAGTTTTTAACGATGAGATACTAAAATGAAATGAAAATTAAACATTAGGTATGATTTTGAAAAATTTGGAAATTTAAGTACTAAAATGAACCAAAACTAATAGTTTGATACTAAACACGTAATTTACCCATAATAAAAAAGGAGGGGTTGTTTAGACAAATATGCTTTAATATCAGTTCTTACTAAGCAACCACCTACTTTATGAACTGTCATGACCATAAAATCATAGTTTCTAAACTGAATTTTATAATACAAATTAATGTAAATCATGACCTAACCTTATAATCTAAAATGAAAATTACTTATATACATTTCAATTTATGAGATTTAAAACGAGTTTTGATCCGATCTTATAAGGTCAGTTTTTTAGAAATTCAGATTTAGGTTAAATTTAAGGTGATTTTTTTTATCCGAGATAATAATATAATTATTCTTTATATATTTTAAGATAATTGCAATAATTTTAATATATATATTCAATTAGGTCTCTATTTTATCTAATAAAAATGAGAATTATATATATTTATGTCAGATCAAATAAAACTTCTCTAAACTTGGATTGAATCGAGTGACAAGTGGAGAGATTGAATTACGTATGCTTCTTTTATGTATATATAAATGTGGTCCTTGTGAATCTTATTTCAACCAACATGTTTTAATAATCTTTTAAGTATATATAAATGTGTGAACCGATATGGCGATATTAATAATTAAAAGGAATATTATTTTTTAAAAAAAAGTTTTGGGTTTAAACAATTATATTTGCACGTGTTTGTTATTAATAATTAAGAAAATTTTTAAATATATTTCTTAGAGAGAATTTTCTCTTTTAAAATTCGAAGCTTTCTAAATTAATATATGTGTGTCCATCCTGAAATTCTATGATGTCAACCTTGAAATTTTATCGTATAAAAAATTTATATTATCAATATATGTGTACACACCTTCAAAAAAATTTCTACATCGACCACTGCCTATACTAATATATATATATATATATAAATGAAAGTGTCTTTTTAGTTAAAAGAATTATTAAATCGGGTCAAATATATTATTTATTTCTAAATTAAATTAGAAATATACTAAACTAAAGTAAAATTATACGTTCATTATTATATCAAGTAGAGCGAATAAATAAAAGGACAAAATACGCGTTTAGTACCTAAACTATCAATTTTGATTCATTTAATACCTAAACTGCCATTTTTTTCAAAATCATACCTAATGTTTAGTTTTTGTTTCATTTTATTACCCGCCCGTTAAAAACTTAACGATTTTAGTACCTAAACTATCAATTTTAGTTCGTTTTAGTACCTAAACTTTCAAAAAAAAACTAAAACTTAATGTTAAGTTTTTAACGTGGTACTAAAATGAAACAAAAACTAAACGTTAGGTATGGTTTTTAAAAAAATTAAAAATTTAGGTACTAAAACATATAAAAATTGAGCATTTAAGTACTAAATGTGTAATTTACGCTAAATAAAAATTCGCCCCACCCCACCAATCGCTAATATCCCTTAAAATTAAGCAGAAGAAACAAAATATTTTTGGTTGTGTTATTTTCAATTATATCCAAAAATTTGGTAGAAAAAGGAAAGGGCATACAAAATGAAAACAAAAGTGGCGTTAAGCAGTCGTTTTCTATGTGTTAATTTATCAAAACGACGTCACATTGCATCCAATATATGTGAACGTAATTAAGAATGGTGGTAGATTTTGATAGTGCATTGATTAATGGTCCCCTAACAACGCATCATAAAGTAATTTACTTTTCTTCAGTCCAAAGAGTTAATTTCACACCAAACATCAATAGATGAAATTATAAAATGGTACTTCGATTATAGAGAGTTATTTTGTTGAGTCTCTTGACTACCAAAAGTTACAAAATGATCACTCGACTATCCATTATGTTATGAACTCGTCATTTTCTGTTAAAATTTTGATGGCGGTTTGAGTTGTACATTAACTTGTTGATTGAAATATAATAAAATATGATCTCATAATCTCAAACAACTATCTTATCTCAATCAACATATTAACGTCAACTCAGGTGGTCGTTTAATTTTCTAATGGAAAGGGACGAGTTTGGAACATAATGAATAGTTGAGTGGTCATTTTGTAAGTTTTAATAGTCAATGGACTCAACAAAGTAACTCCCTATAGTCGAGGGACCATATTATAACTTTTAATAATCAATGGACTTAATAAAGTAATATCATGTAGTTAAAGCACGATTTGTGTATTTTACCCTTTTCTTTAATATAGTCGGGGATGATTATAAGGTAATATATATTCAGAATATTTCTTAACAATCGACAACACGCACACATCGCATCTGTTTAAACCCAGAACTTTTAGAATGAATAACACTCATTTTTATTTATATTATTAACATTATCATCATTAATATTTCTATTAATATTCATAAATTTTGCAATATTCATAAATTCTCATTTCAATCATTATTACTCTTATTAGTTTTTAAGATAAATGAATTATTAATATAACTAAATATTT